GATTTCAACTTCAGGTTTCAGGCTTTATGGTTTGAGTTTTCGGTTTAGGGTTTAGTACTACAGATCTTCATGTTTGGGTTCCCAGTCTTATGCTAGGCCCTTCGTTGGCCCAATTTGGGCACAGCATGACGCATGCACTCTTCCATGGGTCTCGTTTAGCTGCGTTTGGGATTTATGGTTTACGGTGACCCTCTTTTTTGCGCAGATAGAGCGTAGGTAATCCAGGAAAATAGAAAGGGCTCCAACGCTTTCCGAGTTTTATGTTTCTATCGGGGTTTGGGATGCAGGGTTATTCGCTAGCATTTGGGGTTTAGGGTTTGGGGTAAAGTTTTGTAGTGGAGAAAGGCAGTAAAAGCAACCCAGCGACTCTGGCAACAAAGGACGGAGGAACTTGCTCGCCTGCTCGCCGGAACCCTTTCATCATAATACAAAACGGGGGACCCTGGGCCACTACCACCAGTAGCAACCCTAAATAGTAGCTTCAATTTTCTTCTCCATTATCCCAATATATAACCCCTATATCCCCCAATATATCCGTACCAAACCTTATATATCCCTAGTTATAGGGCTACATCAGAACGATAGTGATGCGCCTGCAGGCCAAGAACAATGACTGGAGCAAGGAGGCGCGTGACGCTCGTGGACTGTCGTGGTAATCTACCCCCATGCTAACCCCTGTGTGTCTTATATGGCTTGCATACAATCCCCCCTATACGTCTCATAAAGGGGTTGGATTCTTGTAAAAGGTGGTATAGCTGAAGCAAGATGATTTTGTTGGTAGCTTCAGTTTCAGCGGAGGAGCTGCGAGGACTTTGATTCCTCAGCCTGCAACAGTCACGTTAGGCCCCTGGCCCTAGGGGCCGCTGTTTGGGGGCATAGGGTTTAGGGTTTAGGGTTTGATATCTCAGGTCTTTACTCTTCAGTGTTATGGTTTTGGGGGGCCCTGGCCTCATCAGTAACGGCCCAGGTAGGCTTTGGGGTCCAGGAGGTGGGAACAAAGGGACTTTACTTGGGAACCCCAAACAGGGAACCCCAGCAATATACAGTAGTAGCTCCTGATCGCGGCAGGAGAGTTTCAAGCTTAAGTTCGCCGTTTAGGCTCACCCGGAGTTGTATTGCTGATGCCTGATATGTAGGCTGGAGAGCAGTGTAGAATAAGTCCTTCAGGCCTCTTCCTGAAATCCAGCTTTTCGGCGATTGGTGGTACTGCTAGTTCAGAAGGAAGTAGACTGTCACAGATGGGTACACTCCGCAGGGACGATGGAACGCAATTGATACCCAGAGAAGGTGGGCCCCTCCATGGCGTGTCCAGCAGAATCACCGAGCTCATGTCAGGCAGTGGACTCTACCTGGACCCCAAAAGTAGGTAAGATAATAGCCTAAGACCACTAAATATGTCCAAAAAGGCCATTATTCTAGATACTTTTGGGGTTCAGGTAATGGCTCTTTGCCGACTTTGGGTTGCAGAGTGTGTTTGCCGTTGGCAAGCCTGGGGCATTCTGCCTGCAATTTCTACATGAGCAAAGACTTTCTAAAGGCCTCTTCACAGGAGGCCCACGAGCCCACAAAAATCCTCAGACTTTGTGCGCCAAGAAGACCCCACAGCTTGAGCGGCACCACCTGTAGATTTTTGCCTATCTGCCCCAGAACCATAAACTTGTCTTGAGATCACTCACGAGAAAAGCTTCATGTGGCAGTTTCCATCAGTAGGGGTATAGACCCCACAATAGCGTAGTCCTTAATACGGAAACCTCCGCATAATGGGAAGCCCCCCAAGAAGACGGGGGCCCTCTCGTTTCTTCTATCCTCCAAGCCCTTAGGCCCAAAACTATAGCATGAAGCCCTTGAACCCTAAGCTGGACCCCCACAGTATGCAGAATAACCCTAAACCCTAAACCCCCCGCAAGAATCACAGTATGCAGAATAAGGGAAGGGTCATTCTTTTTCTCACTTCTGAGGTCCCGGAAAAAGCCCTGGACACCGAAAACTTCCAGAACCAACAAGCCCTAAGGGTCCAAGTGCTTGAATAGCATGGGCTTCTAGAAGGAGCTCTGCTTGGACCCCGCAAGTAGGTAAAACAATTGCCCAAAGCCCCTCGAATTAGCTAGACAGGTTATCGTTTTACATATTTTTGGGGTCAAGTACCTCTAATCTCAGTAAGTAATAGTAACATTAGTATTATTAGTAATATTAAAAGTAATATTAGCAGTAATAGTAATAGTCTCAGTAGTGTGGAGCTATCTTCAGGATGCAGCCCGCTTGGCGTCGATCGCTGCTAAGTCGGCCGGATTGGCGGAGCTCCCAGTTGGGTTTAGGGGTCATGGGTTCTGGTGGTTTTTGGTTGTGTTTCAGGGATTTTGGGTTCAATGGGTTTGGTAAAGTCGATCAAGTTTTCATTTTTGGTATGACTGGCCTAGGGTTAAGCGCTTAGGGTTCAGTGGGGTCTAGCCGGGTTCTCCAGCAAACATCATGTTAACCCTTTTGGGGCCCTGGTTTCTTGATAAAACTAGGCTCGCCTAGAAAACCTTGCCTTTGTTGATCCTTGGTGATCCGAATCAGCCCTAGACCCTGAACCCTGAGACGTCATGTGAGCCATAATCTAAACTCCTAGTATCCCCCTTAATAACCCTATAATAGTCCCCTGTAGAATCCCCTATATAACATCCCCCCCCATTTAAGGAGTTTAGATTATGGCTCATGTGGGCCATGTGGTGTTTGTGGTTTTTAGGATGCCATGAGCATCCCGGCCTCATGCAGATGCTTTGGAAACTGCCAGGGTTTTTGCCTAGAGGTTTAGGATTTAAGGGTTACCTGGACACCCCCAAGTATGTCGAATAATGTGGTTTGTATGTGGTTTGGACCACTATTTTACCTGCTTTTGGGGTCCAAGTAGGGAACAGGTGGGGCCCACAATCCTTGAATTTCAGCTTTTGAGACAACCTCAGCTGCTTCTCTGAGCCTTGACTCGTCCGCTGCTTTTGCGAATTTGACCTGAATCCTCTGGAAGGTACAGCAACAAAAGGTAACCATACTCAAAAGCTTTGGGTTTAGCGGGCTCCTCTGACCGTGGTCAGGCAGCCGGCATGCCCGAGGCGGCAGCCGCGACTGCCGGCATGCCTCTTGGCTGGTAGGTTTGGGTTACATAGGTGTTATTGAGATCATATAGGAGTATATACAAGTATGTTATATGTTTTTTCCGTCTTTGGGCTCAGGGGTGGGCTGCAAGTTTGAGCTTCCAATGCCTACATCTGGGGATGCATAGCCTATGTAAGGGGATATCGGGGGTTGTTGGGGAAGCAATGGCTTAAACCTTGCGTTTCTTCTGCCAGGCAGATGGCAGGTGGCAAGCAGTGGGCATCCCCGAACAAGCTGGGTTCGTTGCTGGGTGCATTTTCTGCCGATTGGTTGAACGGCTATGCCCAGGTGTTCAGTGCCAGCGGGGGGATGGAGGTGGAATGCATCAAAGTCTCCCACCAACATCAAACACAAGGCTCGGGCCAAACGGGTTTGCTACCTTCTCCGGCGCCCGGATGGCCAAACTGAAGGTCTTACAGATCATGTTCTGGCAGATGGGCTTCCACTGCAAGGCCAGATCCACCATCAATGTCACTAGTTCGAGATGCAAAAGCATTTGAGGCATCGTCGTCGGCGTTACTGATTTGGGCTGATCCTGTGCAGGACTAGCCCCCGCCAACCCCAACCCTGCAACCTGACGCCAGCAGGGACAATATACACTCCGGGCCCTGGCTACATTGGCCCTCCAAAGGATTGTCAAAGGGTCTGTGAGCAGGCAGGCACCCTTCCAACACCAAGGGCGCGACCAAGAACGCAAGCAAGGGCAATGGCAACAACAGACCTCACCGACGTGGCTAGCTGGCAACGGCTGGCCACCAACAGCTCTCAGCTTCAGAGCCTCATACAAGTTTTTTCCTTGATTACTGCCCTGGCGCGACTCGGCCCAGACACCTGCCGCGCTGAAAGATCCAGACCGATGCCCTGCCGCTCAATCCCCGCTCGATCCCAATCTGTACCCGTGCTCCGTCTCTCAGCCCAACTCTGCCGCGAACGACTGGCTAACCTCCGCCGGCCACGTCGTGGGGGCGGCGGCGGGGGCGTCCGGTTGTACCAATGAGCACTTGAGGGTTTTTCTAGATGAAGAAGTGTGCACGGAAATGCTGGGCCGTGCAGCAGACAGACTCGCTGGGGCGGTGGATTTAAGCTTAGGGCTTGCGGTCTACCTGGCCTTGTTTAATGAACATGAAGTTCTTTCTTGTTACATGAACCCCCAAAACTAGCGGTATGAATTTGCAAGGCTAGGTAGGGGCTTCAGCCTTGCAAGGGACCCGGCGTTTGGGGTGGAGGGGTTCAGGTTCCAGAAGCGACGACACGCTTAGAATTAGAGCTAGAGGTCCAAGATTTTGTCCGGCTTGTGCTTTCAGAAACTACAGAAGGTTTTGGGGACCATGGGTCTAGATTTTAAAGTTGGGGCGTGGAGTAATTATAGGGTGATGCGGCTTAATTAGGGGGTTTCTGGGTGAAGGACTCAGGGCTGAGGAGGTCGTAGCGCGTATGGAGTTCAGGAGTTAGACTTTGTAGGCTGCGCAGGCTCTTTTGTCGCGTGCAGATGTCAGGTGTTCAGGGTTGCGCTTCAAGGTGTCAAATAACTCTGGCAATGTTGGCATTCAGGATTCAACTGCCGATTTATGCTCGAAGTCCTTGCAAAGAAAGAGTATTTTAGAAGAGGTGTGGTTGGCAGTGGTGCTTGCGGCAGCGGTGGTGTGGGGGCGCCATTGCCTCCAATGCTAGTGCCGGTGCCGGTGCCGGTGGCGGCGGTGGTGGCTGCGGCTGATGCTGCTGCTGCTATAGACCTTAGCTTGAGAGCCTCAGTTCCGAGCACCGTGTACAACCTCAATCACAACCCGTTAAACCCTGCACCCCAAACCTTTCAAGCGCCTCTAAGCCGCGAAGCTCTAAACCGGTAAGCCCAGACGTGCTACCAGGTTGGCAGCCCAGGCGCTGACCACGGAGCCCACTCCTCCGTGACATGGCAGCAGGGTTCCAATGGGGCATCGTATGTGGGTCGGGTGTTTGATGGGTTTAGACTAATAGGATATACGGAGATGGGAAGTTACGGCATCCTTATACTTAGCATTGTATGGGTTTGTGGTGTGTTGTGGAAAGATTCTGTAGGTTAACAGTACAACAATATACGCGCTTCATGCAACCATAATCCATCCCGGCAGAGTGAGCGACAGCCCCCTTTAGACAAAAGACAACTGGAGTTGCAGGAGAAACTGCGTGGTATAGCCTTCATTCTAAATTCTGAGGGTAGACCCAAAACACGTCTCAGACAACGTAAAGTAATCATCCCGACATAGCTACGAAAAGCATAAGTGCAGAGGCCGAAGCCGATCCCACCGCGTGTGCAGTGCCGCACAGCCGTCGAAGGCTATGAGCAACCTTGCGTGCACCGTGCCTCAAGAAAGCGGGTGAATGCTGGGGAAGATTGGACCAGGGAGTACGCAAGTATCACGGTTGATACTAAAACCTCTGCTTGACCAGGGATGCACTACACCTCTGGAAGTGGGGTAGTCGAATATACTAAGGTGATGCAAGACGTTTGGCATCAACAGTGTGACACTGGACAGAACAAAAAGCCCTAATTTTAGACAAGGATCCGGGGATTATAATACAGAGTGCCGCCTTGGTTCAAAGCAAGACTGACCGACAGGGAAAGACAGTTGTCAACCAACCCATTTCATGTGTTGCTTTCGCCCAAAGATCAGAAACAAGAGGCGCATTCTCAACTCAGGGCTTTCCATGGGAGACTGCTGAGCTCGTGTGTACCCTGTTTCTGGTGTTACCCCCCCTCCTGCCACTCACCTGTGTGCTCTTCCTCTCTCGCTTTCTCTTCCCCCCCTCTCTCTCCACTCATCTCTCTCTCTCTCTCCCAGTCCCCTGTGTGCCTCCTGTTCCGTTCTCTGTATGGTCTATCCAGCTGCTTGTTTTGTGACGGCTTCAAAAAATCCTAATTACTAGCAGTAGGTGCTTCCAGCATGAACACATTCTCGGATTCCAAATGCTGAAAATTCAGGGTTTGGGAGTGTTGAGTTAGAGTTGCTTAAAGCACAGAGTGCAGCGAGCAAACAGCCAATCAGTTCAGGAGAGCGGACAGTTGGTGATATCTGCGCTGGCCAGCGCAGAAACTGTTCTCGTCTTGCCCAGTGCAGGCATAGAAATCGGCACGCTGTCTGTGCAAAACAGGGTGCTTACACTGTCAGTTTCGGAAACAGCCAGACCCCCATTCCCACAAAACTTACAAATTATGCAGCCAAAATTATCTGAGATAGCAGAGGCCCCACTGACGACGATCGATTGTTAGTAAGGAGGGAATGGACAGAGGGATCTCCATTGGTGACCTCATATAGTCCGCAATCACATAGTCTTGCTGCGATTGCAGCTTCCATTCCCTAAGCCCTGAACCTCATGTAGTGGTTCCACGTTGTTTTCCATTCCTTCATTCCTAATTAACTCGCCAGCCGAGGGACAACGTGATGTGGATCAAGAATACGGGCATCCACGAGCATCCGGAGTGGTATCCAGGCTCGCCCAGAAGGGCTTTCCACTAAACACCGTGCGTCCAAGTGCACATATTTGTGTGTACACACATATCTACAACATCTTTAGCCTTGACATCCATACCGCAGAATGTTAAGGCTATTCGAAGAGCCAGGCCCAGGGTTTGGGAGTCGTTGGACTTAGGCTCAGGTGGTGCAAGGATCCTCCTGGACGCAGTGCCCTCCAAAGGAGCCCCTGACGTATAAGCCCTAAGCTTTAAGTCCTAAACCCCAAAAGTATGTAAAATAATAGCCCTAAACCTACAACAACAGCCATAAAGGCCATTATTTTGCACACTTTTGGGGTCCAGGTAAGGTTTAAGTCCTAAACCCTAAACTGTGCGGCTCCCCAAACCAAGCCCCTAGGCTCGACGCTTTCAAACAAACTGCACACCCCAAGGTACCTAGCCAGGTGAAACCCACTTTCTAGCCAAGGTAATATCCCACAGCCCCTTGGAATTACTGTTATGCATAACTAACATGAGCGTTTTGTAGTTTCAATACCTATCGAAGTACACTCCTGAAGACTCCCAAACTCTGAGCACTCAAGCCCAAACGCCCAGCCTGAGAAGGCTTCAAAGTGAGTCTCAGACGTTTGTTTCCCTTGCAGAGATGGTCGAGTGTTTAGCTACTACTATTATTACTACTATTATTATTATTACTATTACTATTATTATTACTACTATTACTATTATTATTACTAGGAGTTCGGGGGTGAGGCTTTGGGGTTCAGGTGAGGGAGGGAAAGTACTGTGCTTGCACGGGTTTCTGGGAGCACAAAGTGGGCGTCTCAAGTTAGACCTGATATCAGGGCCAGCAAGAAACAAAATCTCAATTAGATCCCATACCCTACATCAACAACGCAATCAAACTCGCAACCGGAGACCGGCTGCAGAGTCCATGGAAGGTGGAACCAAAGATTACCGCTTAGGGTGTAGAGTTTAGGGTTAGAAGGAATTCCTTATTCTGCATGTGCGGAAGCTATGTTGTGGGATCTTTTTCCAAACAAATCTACGCATTCCGCTTAAACTGGGCCCTGTGTAAGCTGTAAGCATACCTAGTATCCGTAAGGGTTTAGGGTTTTGGATACCCAATGGATCTACCATTTTGAAATCAAATAGGGTGTTGTTTACCTTGATTTTTGGTGAGTGTTTATGAAATTCCTTAAGAAAAATGGTGAGTGTAGGTGCTGGGTGTCCAACCCTTGCAAAGATAGCCTCTCAGCTCTATGCTTCAAAGCCAGAGCCCACAGCCCCTGAGATGATAGACTCTACGCCCCAAAACGTCAAATCTTAGCGGGACCCCAAACGCAGCGAAACATCACAACCTTGAATTTTAGCTATCCGATCATCACATCATATCACATCCACACGCACCCGTTTAGAGATCCTAAAGTTTTTGTCTTGTTCGGAGTCCCAAATTCTGGCTCGGGTGCCGCAGACTTAACGCCGACATCCTCCCTCGCTGACTTTCAGACGGCTGCGGTGCCACCTTCAGATGGGGGGGGTTTACCAAAATTGCGGGCCCCGTTCCAGGAGTATAGTATATGAGCCAAAGCCTAAACTCCCTAAGGCGGGGGGGTGTATTACAGGGTTCTAAGGGGATACTTCGAGTTCAGACTATAGCTCCTATAAGGTTTAGTCTTTAGATTGAGATCCATATTAGGGCCCTCATATTTATGGAAGCTACCACCATTTTGTTTCGAACTCAAAACCACAACCCCTTGCATACCCTAGGGATCCAAATTAATCCAAAGTAAGCACGATCTACTTATCGACTTTACGGTTTGATGTGTGCATCACTTTTGGATTCGGATCTCCAAGTGTAGCTACGTATGGTTCAAGTTGATGTGTCGGACTAAACACTACTTTGGCGTCAGGGGGAGCTTAGCAACGTATATTTAAAGGCTGTAAGTATAAGTCCTTTATAACCCTTATATGAATAGTTGAATTACCCCCAGTTATCGCCGCGATGAGCCTTTTCACTGCGTGCCCCTGATCCTCCAAGTACCCTGTGGCATGCATTGTGCAGGAAATTCTGGGACGCGGATGGGTACTGTAAAAGCCTGAAGAGTTACCAATATGGTCCCCGTATATTTCTTGTATAGTTATGGCATAACATACCAAAAACCCTATGGAAATTCAACAAGAGGCTGCAATAGGCTTGTCCGAAACTTGTCTCCTCGGTGTAAGGGTTTCGGGCTCAGGGTGTCCACGCTCGAACGGCGACGAAGGCGAGTATGTTGAAGAAAAGGTACCCAACAAATGCAGAGGGGTTTCTCAACATCAGGGACCGCTTCTTTGAGGAATGTATGGAGCAAACACACCATGGTACTTGTACCTGCTCAGCGCGTGGCAGACTTCTTTGTTGCCTCGCCCAGTTTTGTCACTTATGGTAGCCAAGATGTATCTCAAGAGCCAAATGCTCCCATGCCCACCAAAAGCACACAAACTCCTGTAGCCTACGCTTTAGAGGGATATACCTGGTTGTGTCAACTGAGCTGTAATGAGCCTGGACAGATTAAGTTCAGAGTCATGCTGTAGGTGTCCTGGTACTGGTGAGAACTGAAGCCAAAGAGCCGAGGTAGAGCTTTCTTCGATTGTTACGTCATTGTTGGATAAAGTTGTCACGTACATATTCCCAGATCCCCTAAAGGATCCAAAAAATAACCCCCCCCCCCCAACATGAACCCACTACTACATTGGGGAAACTAGGGGATTATTCGGGGTTCAATTTTTTGGATCTTTTAGGGGGTCTGGGTTGTGAAGCGCCAATGTCCTTATACGGGACCAACCTTAAGGGACGCGGAAGGTTATTATTTTCAGTCCCCGCATACCCCTGAACCCTAATTCTGTGTAACCGCCAGCTGTTTCGTGCAAGATTCGTCTCGCAGACCCCAATCCCCGGATGAAATCTTAGGCTAGCCAAAACGAAGAGGCCCTAGGTTTTACGTTTAGTTCGGGTCTGGGTTTAGGATGGTTTAGGGTTTAATTAGGTTTACATTCTACCTGAACCCCAAAAGTATGTAGAATGATTGCACTTTGGGCAATTTTTGGGGGTTTAAGGCTATTATGTTACCTACTTCTGGGTTCAGGTAGTAACAGCAAACCCTAAACCCTAAATCCCTAAACCCCAAACCCTTAAGCCTGAGAAGTAAAGTCTGCTTTTTACTACCTGGGCTGTCAGCCCGAACCGGCTACACTTCCCCAAACAAGCATGAAAGGTATCATGTAGGGCTTTTATAGGGTCAATGAAAAACAACGACATGGAAACTACTAATTTGGATTTAGGGTTTGGGGTTTAGGGTTTGGGGATTAGTGGCTTCCTGTAACATGTCTGCAAAGCATAGGAAGATCATATGCGTATACAGTCATATGATACATATGTCCATACTTACTTATGTGCACTAGCATGGAATCTAGCAACGGGTTCCTTCATTAGGTACCTCCCAGTTACTAAATTATGGGATTGGGGTTGCCAAAAACTTCTTCCAACAAAAGTCAGAGAATTACTCCCAGGTGGAGTCGGGACACAGCGACTGCAAGCTGAAGGGGCACTTCGGGCGACGAATTCTACAAGGGCTTAGGATACCCTAAGGGTCCAAGGACCCAAATAATAGGGTTTTAGGGCCCAAATACTATAACATTAATGGTATTTGGGCCCTAAAACCATATTATTTAGTTCCTTGGACCATTAGGGATACAGATGTGTGGGGTGTTGTGGGGTGCGTGTTTTACGGTTCAGGGTGTTGTCTGGGCTCTGGCGTGCTAAGGGAGGTAGCCAGGCATTCAAGTGATTCTGGCTCGGAAGTTTTGAGGTTTGACTGTGTATATGGCAATATACTATAATCCTTATTATGNNTTGGGAAACCCCCATATAGCTCATGATGTCATCATGTGTTGGGATTCAAAGCTGCAGGGTCTGCCAGAAGGCCAAGCCGCAATCAGGGGAAGGAGAAGTGATTCCTCTCCTCAGCTAGGAGTATGGCTAGTCTGGAAGGTGTGCATTATGTAAGCCATAATCTAGGCTGCTCCTTGAAGGGGGTTTACACAAGGGATTATATAAGGACTACTACCATGTACAGAAGATGTTAAGGGAGATACTTGGAGTTCATACAGTGGCTGATGTGTGCTTCTGATGAGGGTGGAGACTGGCAGTTTTAGGGCAAGATTTAGAGGTCCCTAAACCCTACACCCTAAACCCCTAAATCCCTAAATTCCTAAACCCCAAACCCCTAAACCCCTAAATCCCTAAACACTAACCCCTAAACCCTAAAGCCTAACCCTAAACCCTAAACCCTATCATACTTGGATCCCATAAAGATCCCTAAGCCCTAACCCCTAAACCCTAAACCCAGAAGCATGGGGTTTCCAACTGCAGGCCTCTTGGAGGCAGATGTCTAGAGCCATTCTTACCCGAAGGCTCCAAGGTAATATTTATAGGGTTTAGGGTTTAAGGTTGAGGGGCTCCACGTAGGTGATATTTCTAGACTTTAGAGACTTTAGGGCCTAGTGTCGGTAGTACTTCTAGACTTAGAGCTTCAGGGTTAGTAAGGTGAAGGTATTTCAGAGATTCGGTTGTCAGAAGCTTGACTACGGTTCTGCATTACGAATGTACTTAACCCCATTTCATATTATAGTATTTGGGCCCTAAAAACGCATTATTTGGGTCCTTGGACCCTTAGGGTAAATTACTTCAGAAACCGGTCCGGTTTGACAGTTGGCCACAGGAGAGGAATCATGGAGAACCAAATGGAAATGAAGCATGAAATGGAAACTAGGGTACTGTAGGGACATAGGTTGCTACTATAATGGAGAAGCGGGGAGACGAGGAACTCAAACATTAAAGGGACATCGCTTTTATGTAAAGATGTGTACAGGTGGCGGGTTCAAGTTCCCAGCGCGCAGCAGGATTGTCTGTCTTGGGATTTGAATCGAATTGCCTGGGTCACAACCACTAGCAGGATTCAAGCGGCAGTCCCTGTCGGATGATAGTCATTTGAGCTGTAGTCATTTAAACACCCTAAAGCGGGTTTTATAGGGGATTATACAGGGGAGTATTATATAGGGGTTATTAGGGGGGGTTACTTGGCGTTTAGACTAGCTCATGTAGAGTTTAGTTTTTTTTGTTTTTTCGCCGTATCTTAGGTGTCCGGAGGACGGCCTTGATGCTCGGCGAGTCAAAGCAGAGTCGGCCTTATGTTGTGGGTTTCCAAAAATTAGGGGTACCTTATTGGGGGTCCCTATAATAAGGATTATAGTATTTTGGGGGTCTACCTTGGGGTCCCCCTATCTCGGAAACTATCATGTCTTGCCTCTTAGTAGGGATTGAATGAATGGATAGTTTTGGCTAGCACAGGGAAAAACAAGGGTCCATCATCTGAGTTTTGACGGCTGGGTACACAACCCTCGCAACCGCAGCAGTGTGGACTCGAATAACAACTGAAATAAATTTGCCTTGTGTCTTTGGGGCGTGGGCATTTCAAGCATGAATGCTTTTCCCGCGGCCCTGCTGTGCTTCGACTTTCTAAATGTGCCGTAGCGGTAAGTGTACAAGCCAAAATGGGTACCGATACCACTTCCTTAAGACTGACTGTACAGGTATCGTTGAGTGCACATACCCCAAAATGCCAAAACGCAATGCAACAAAAAGGAAGCCTTTACATTACAGCAGCCTGTTGCCGAACACATTTGCGCCATGCGGAAGCTTGATTACTGGTCTTTGGCCTCAATAGGAGGGGCTAGTGGTGCGTGTGCGTGTGCTGGCCCTTACGCTGTCACACGAGAAGCTCGCAGCAGCAGAGGATAACCCTTCCAACAGATGACAGGTCTTGCGATCAGATGTTTTAATAGTGAATTGATTCAATTGCATCCTGCTAACCCGTACAACAGCTCAATCCCAAGCCCTCGCAAGCCCTGTCTGCCACGTGTCACCTTATCCCTTTGTTGGCACATTGGCTTGTGTTATGTGTTCGAGGAATGTCTTCCAGATGGATATGGCTGCTTGTCTGATGCCGCAGCTCGTTTTGCAAACAAAGGTTTCATCCGTTTGTACGTAGGCTTGAAGCTTGTAAGCTTAGGGTCTGTGGGAGATGGGCAAGTTTTGGTTGAGGGGTCCAGATTTGGAATCGCATGGCACAGCAAATCCCGGCTTCACTGCTTGTTCCGCCTGTCTTGACATTGCTAGGATGTACACATCCCCAAGAACACTGCTTGACAAGCCCTCATGCTCATAACTAGGTTGTAGGTTTCTGAGACGTAGGGGTGATGGAGTTGTGGGTATTCTGAATGTAGCAAGTTAAGTTGCCACCATAGGGGGGGATGCTCAAGCTTTTGGGAACTGCTGGGGGCTTCAAGAAGACACCCTTTGAAACGTTGTGATTGTTCTGGGCAATCAGTAGGAACCATGTCTCACCTAAGTTTCAGGAGCTAGATCTGCTTTGTGAGGTGCCTACTTCGGGGGTCATGGGGACTTAGTAAGTAGGTTAACAACCCCTAGAAGCCATATAATAACCCCAAGTATCCGCACTATGAACCTACTTACTAAGTCCCCATGACCCTCCAAGTAAACCCTAAACTGCGGATGTTGAGACAGCTCCAGGCCTCCAGGGAAGAGCTATGGCATCAAGGAAGGTGATCCCCGTCTCCTCCCTGTCATGTCATGCCAGCCCTTATCCCGTAATGTGGCATATGGTAATATATTGGGGGGACTGAATATTCATGGGGGTGGGGGGGGTTTAATATTAGGGGCAGAGGGTTACCTTGGTTATAAGGGAGAGGGGAGGTGCGCAATTTAGACGTAAAGGATGATGGTGTTTTTTCATTGGAAGCTGAAGCTCCTTGTGCTTTGTTTGTTCACCAGTCTGTTGCCACGCAAAGTGGAAGACTGGGCTGAGTGTTGCCTACGCCACGAAACGTGGCGCCTTCTTAGGATTTCCCCCTTCTGGGCTATACTAAAAAACTCACAATGCATATGCAGGTGCACCAATAAGGAACTACATAGGGCAGCCCAGGCATTTGCAAAACCCGTGTTACTGTTAGCGCACACTTGTAAACAAATTCCGGGAAGAATTCGTGTTCTTGATCCGGATGTTTGAAAAGCATCCGCTGTCCCAGTCCAAAGGCATCATCACTAGCATGCTGCAGTATTTCGAAAACACGGATCCCGAGCCCTTCATATTTGCTCCTGACAACATTCACTGCTGGAGTTGGAAGCCGCCTGGTGCCTCTTGTCAAGAAGGCTTTTTGGCGTTCGAACAGCCACAAAAGCCTAGAATTACATGAGTCTCTTGAGAGGTGGAGTTCGTGAAGACCTGGCTTGAAGATCTTCCGGCCGCTGATGCCTGCAAGGACTGTCCATTTCCCATCTGCTTTCCATTGCCTTACGGGTCCGAGTATCCAAATATGATGGCTTCAGGTAGCAAACACCACGTGTCATGCGTTGTAGCCAAACAATCACAGTTGGCCTTGGGACCCACGCTCAAGATGTTGAAATGCCGTGTGCCAGGGTCAAATTTCAGGATTCCTTACGCAGGCTTAGGGTTTAGGGTGTAGGTCTGGGGCTGTTTCATTCTGCTTTAACGGTATGAGAGTTTAGTGTTTAGGGAAAAGCATGCTGGATTGGAACTTGCCACGTGCAGACTGACTTGTTAGCATCATACTCTTCATGGAAAAAGCCCCCGACTTGAAGCTCCCAAATGCCCAGACTAAGAGCCCTCAACCCCACAAAGAAGGGTATATGGGTTACTGTTATGGGTATTCGAGAGGTCTAGGTATACCTTAGGAGTTGCAATCTGTTGGGCAGTCCTGGTGGCCAACATAAGAGTCCTCTACCCAGTGCAGTAAGACGTAGTAAGCAGCTTGAACTAACTCCATGTTGGTACCATCCACCCTAAACCCTACACATCCCCATAATTCCTTATATGAAGCTATAGAACCCTAGAGACCCCTATGGGACCGTCATATCCCCTTCACGGGTACTACCGCGAGGAGCAAAGTTGCCAGTCCATCCCGGTCCTGTGGCCCAAGATCTTGTGACTCCCACCCCCTGGATAGTCCTACTGGTGCCAAAGGAGGGTTGAGTGAATATGTAGGTACATTTATAGGGGCATACATATTTATATATAGAGCTATATAGATAGATAGATCGATAGATATAGGGATTATATCTAGGGATTATATAGGGATTACTTTCAGGATCCACTCCCCGGCGCTCCCTGAAGCACCAGCAGGTAGTTCATAGCCCCGAGCGCCAAGCACATGAGGCCTTTGTCCCTGACCCTCTCCCAAAATTTGAGTTCCGACATGTTCTGAGATCCCCAAGTTGGTGCCCCGCCAGCGCTCCGCAGCTAAGAATGGGATGGAAAGGGTTTACGACACAGATTCATGATTCATACACCTAGATGGGGCATGGTTTGTCATTCTCCCACTCCGTTGCATGCTTAAACGGGGTATATAGGGACTCTATAGGGATTACGATAAGAATCCTTGCATCCTTCGAGCTCGCCACCAGGACCCACAGGTCAATGTAGCTGGCCACTGCTTATGTCCTCCGCAGTACGTGCCTGGCTGCAAGTTACTTGCTGGTCCGTGGGAGTTTTAGGGACCCTTTAGGGGTTTGGGGGTTTAGGGTTTAGGGTTTAGGGAGCCAGTGAACAGAAATGACAAAAAAAATGGAAAGCACCATCCAGGGCTTGGTGCTCAGGGTTTTGGGGGATGGACAAGAAAAGTGGAAACTATCATATGCTCAGGGGAGTATGTATTTTCTGCTATAATACTGGGAGCCATGTCTCTACCCCTACTTACAACCAGATAGGTTGGGACCCGGGACTTTCTGAAAATTACCACCACTGACTTCTTTCTGGACCGCGGTTGAAAATCAAAATTAACCCTCACTATACTAGAGCCCCAGAAGGAATATGACATCATGAACTTTTTAATAGTATTAGGATAAGCAACAGTAGAGACAGACATAGTCCTAGTCCTAAACCCCAAGCCCTAAGCCCTATGTCCATGGCAGAAGGGGCATTTTGAGGCACTGCCACTTCAGGGCGAAACAGGACTCAGTTACATTGGGAAGTTTCCGAAATGAAGGGCGCGCTCCTCGTAAGGAATCATGAGATTGAGGGTGCAACTTCAGGCCCTTTAAGCTTAAACCCTAAACCCTGTAAGCATAGACCCTAAACCCGAAACCCGCCACCCTTTAAGCTACCTTTGAGGTTTAGGGTTTAGGGTCTCCTGGCACAATGAACTCAGAGAACAAATCCATGTAGCCTACCAGGGATTCGCATCAGGCTGGACAGCGAACTTCCCTTTCTAGCTGTGATGTCCCGTTTTGCGACGCAGCTCCCAATCTTCTATCCCTGAATGGAGTAAAGCTCTACCTGACCCTACATCCTGTGATTGCTACTCAGATCCTGAACCGTCACTGTATGTTAGCAGAATTGGGACGTAGGTGCCTACGAAGCAACGGTGGAACGCATGGCGTGGGGATTCAAAAGGGCTGAGAGCCTAAGATTGAGTGTTTTGAGCCCGAGATTAAATGCTTTGATTGGTTACATGCAATATCAACCCTAAACCCCATATAGTCCTGTATATCCCTGTATAACCGTAAATAACCCCTTTTTAACTCTTTACTTTCAGGGTACTGTTCAACCTGCAGATAGGGCCCTGGACCGCTGATTCAGAAATGTTACGTTTGGGGATTGCGGAAGAGCGAGAGCTTCGCGCTTGAGATCTAGGGTAGGGTTTCCATGAGGGTTTAGGATCTTGCTTACAGGGGGTTAGTATGGACTAAGGGAACATCCCACTATTATTCTCTTCTAGCCATCAGTAAGTTTAGGGTTGAGTCTTGAGTAATGTTGAGGCTTTGGATTCAGTGGCTTTAAGCTTCACATAGGATCTCAAGGAGCGTTTGGTTCAGGATTTAATTGGGGTGTAGCACCTCGGATGTAGTGATTGCAGTTTACTGTATCAGGTCACATTGGAGTAGAGGTACGTTTTGAGCGAAATGGCCGCAGTAAAAAGATGACTTGCCAGCATACGCGTCGTGAGCGGCAGACTACGTAGAACGCACCAAGCCAGGGTTCATCGTCCACCCTGGCCCCGCTTCATATTTCTATTTTGAGGAGGCCACAATTTTGCTCGGTGGACCCAGCAGTGAGAATGCGATCCCTACAGAGTGTCCTTTAGATGCATGTATCCCTGGGCCTTTGCAAGGGTGGCCTTGCCTTGAGACACCCCTGGCACGAACCCACAAGTAGTAAACACTCATGAATTCGTCCCGCAGCCTCAAACCCTGAAGCAGCAGAGCCCATCCCTGAACTTGACGGTGAATTGAAGAGTGGATCGTGATATTAATCTCAAAACGTGTGCTTCCAGAGAATACGGATGCGCTTTATGTCAGGGGTCCCAAAGTTATGTTTGGAATGTAGTAGATGATGGTCTATATCGAGGTCTGCCTATTCATGAATTCATGAAGCACCATATAATTAGTACCCAAAAGTCATCGCCCTTGTCTTTCCCTAAGGGTCCAAGGACCCAGATAATAGGGTTTTAGGGCCCAAATACTATAACATTAATGGTATTTGGGCCCTAAAACCCTATTATTTAGGTCCTCGGACCCTTACCTGAACCCCAAAAGTATGTAAAATAACAGCCCTAACCCCTAATAATAGCCATAAAGGCCATTATTTTACATACTTTTGGGGTTCAGGTAGGGTTTTCCTTCGTCCCTACTAGCCACAAGTACGCAAACCGCATTCAACGCTTAGATGAGGAGCTGGTTGACGGTGAATGCACACTGGCAGAGGAAGCCAAGCGTCGCGCGGCGCAAACGTCACTCTAAGGGTCCTAGTGAGTAGTATCTTATGAAGGGAGACTGTAGACCCCAAATATAGGGTAAGATTATATCCTCCTTTTGGTGTATAGCCGGTCTAGCATTTTAGATCTCAATATGACCTTACTACCATGTTTTTGGGTGCCTGTTTAAAAACCAATCTGAGCCCAAATTACAGGCTGTCTGGGTCAAGGAATTTGGACCCTGGGGTTTGAAAATTCAGCTTGGGGATTTCGGGTTCTGGGTGCAAGAAGTCAGGTAGTATGTTTGCGGGCTTAAATCTTCTGCTCAAGGCTTACGGATATGCGCATGATTTACACATCGATCCTAATGTTCAGATAGATTGGCAGTCCATTAGCACTGCATAGGACATAGACGGTGTTCCCGGACTTTGCGGTTTGCCTGAGGGTTTCAACAGGCTGCTGTCGGCCATGTAATGTAGAATTAGAGGCGGCGAGGCGGCGTGCTTGGAGTTCTGAAGTATATGAGCCATAGTCTAAACTCCTGGCTATGTGCCAGCTTCAGTTTTTCTACACAGAGACTTTGTCGTCAGCACAAAGGACAGAGTATGTGGGTAATTTAACAACCAGGACAATATAATCCGTTATGTGCACCCATGGTTTCTTTAGAATGGCCATATTCCCCTACGGACCCCTAGGGCCCACCTCTTGACACAACCCCCCTCCCCAGTGCATGCTGTGTATGTATTTCACGGTTCACACGTTGCCTTTTCCGGTCCCCACACCCAAATGTGATCTTGAGTATGCCTAACAGATAATCATCTTACTGTTGGTGGTAAGGAGAATGGACATACAGCCGCTACACAAACCTTATATGGTGTTTCCCGTATTCCCTACTAACCACCAGCAAGTTACTCGGACTAACCCCAGTTTCAAAGGGCTAGCAGATGGCTATGAATATCGCTAGGCATGAGCTTCTACATGTACCGGGCGCAGAGTGCCGCGCGGCTGCCTGTGAGAAACTTACAGGGGTAAGTAGAAAATCATGTAGGAGTTATATAGGGATTGTATTCCCATCTTCCCTACCCTAAACTCTAAACCCTAAACCCTTAATCCAACAATTAGGGATTGTGTCCCATTATTCCCTACTAACCATCAGTAAGGAAGCGCCAGGGTGAAGGGTAAGCGCTTCAGGGGTTTTTAGGGATCAGGGCTTGGGAGGTTTCAGCTGCAAGGTGCAACCAGTTCAGTCGGGAAATGCCTATAGTTTCTCCAAACAACCCCCTACGATATACTATAATTCTTCTCCGTACGAACCTCCTGACCTCTCGAGCTTACCTGGTCGAATATCCACAGCAAACTACTCTTTGTCAACTTCGAAGAGCGACTTCTTGGCTTCTTCTAAGTGCTTCCTGACCATGTTTGCTTTCGCCAGCAAACTGCTATGATAAGGCTTTATACCCCGATTTCAGAACAAGATCACCAGCATCGATTCTCGAACCTCCTGACTGAACCTGAGGATTATGTCTACCCCATGGAGAACGTCAACTTAGGCGCCGGACTGCTTCTCAACACTGGAGTCGCCCCGAAACAAGCCATACGGTAGTATAGTCCACATTACAACAGGCTGCAAGCATGGAGCACTCATGAGTTGCAACCTTGTCACACACTACGTGCAACCTTCCAACAGGGTCCTGGGGCCCTGCATTGCTTAGAAAACTACAAAAGATAATCTTTACATGCCAGGGGCCTAAAGCTTAAACCATGTTGGATCCGTTGCAGGGCGACTTCTAGTGTCTCAAACCTAAACCGAGGGGTTTTGTTTGTGAGTTGGTTGTAGTGAAGGGTTTTAGGCCATGGAGGGATGTGCAAAAAATAGCTCCTTGAGGCAATGCTTGTGGGGGTTACAGTAGGGTTAGGGGGAGGTTTTGACGCGAATTCCACGCAACAAGAGGGGCCGAATCCAGATTAGAGTGCCTTCTTTAGCAAGCCTCGCCCAAACAAGCACGGATGCCCAACAACGCACCTACAAAGGCTACTGGCCCCTTGAAAGCGGTCGATATTGGCTTCCATGCTATTCTTTGTGAGTCCTGATAAGCTCTGAACCCAAGATGCTCGAGCAGATATCACAGTGACCCCTAAGCGTAACCTATGTGATGGGAGCCTGCCGTTTGGCGGCCATTGCGCATGGCTCGCAATTACTTACAGCGCAAGACAACAAGGCTCACAGAATGGCTTGGGTTCCTTTCAGTTGCAAAAAGCCAACCAAGTTTTCCAGGCTAAGGAAAACCTTCACTTTAACCCCTAAATCCAATCAAAGCAGCTTTGTGTTTATAGGGCTCAGGGATCAAATCTTGTACCGTTTACTGTGCTGTACGTACCAAGCCCGCTGTCATCGCAAGAAAAACGACGCCTGGGGGTTTGTATGGAAGGAAGGACATTTGGTACTTTCCCTAAATAAGGGGACCCCAATATAGACCCCTGTATATTATAGTCCTTATTATGGGGATCCCCAATAAGGGTACCTGCTGGTGTGAACCAGCAGGCTGTGAGGAAGTAGACAA